CTTATATATGAATCCCAATATAAGATTTTCGATTTGAAATGTAAAATTTTATTGGTATTTATAATTTGTATTTGTTTCTAAACTATGTATTTTCTTAGTTGTAACTAAGTTTTTATTGGTGTTTATAATTTATATAGCATGGAACATATATTTCACAAGTTATAAATTCGAGCACTTAACCTCCAAATGAATAAAAAACTCAACAACAACTTGAACCAAGAAAAAGGAATAGAAATCTAAGCAATCCACCTATCAAAATAAAAGGAAGACCAAGGAAGAATTAAGGATGAATTTTTTGGTGTTTAAAACATTATGAAAAGTGATTGATGTTTTTGTAAATGTTTTTACTATTAATGGATCATTTTTGTATTTTGAACAATTAATTATTCCATTAATTTGAATTTTAGAATGTTAATTATGTGTAATGCATGAAGTTGTTGCTTCTTCTTTTTTATGTTGTTAATGGATTTGAAGCATTCTTATTTTGTCAATAAATTACTAGTTAGATGATTTTGGGAATTGTGGATGCTTTATGGGAATGTTGTTTGAATTTGGAAGTTTGAATGATTTTTAGGAATTTGGATGCTTTTTTGGGAATTTTGGATGATTTCTAGGAGAATTGATGATTTCTATAGAATTGATGATTTATGCGGAATTGATAAACAAGTCTATAGAATTGTAACTTGATTGCCACAAACAAACTATTTTGCTTTTGGTGAAATCAAAACTAACTCAATACCGTTTCCTAACACATTGACAACTTCATCAAAGTATAAAATCCATATGTCATCATTTTGTTCAAGTTTCTTTTTTCGACCATCACAATTGATTCGTTAGAGAAATTGAATTTTGAAGGATCATAGTCATATGTTTACCTAATTTGAATTACAAACTATTAGAAATTAGGTAAATGTGATCTAAATTATCTAATCTAGTTATTTCTAACCGTCAACTATTAATTCGCACGGTTATATCGGACCTTGATGCAACCGGAAAGATTTTAGAATAGGAAGTAGCAAAAGGAAGTCATATGTTTCTCTCGGTTAATATTGCGAGGTAATAAATGTTCTTATCTCGTCATGCAAAAATATAGATGTGAATGTTGTTTAAACTTGGATGGGCAATAATATTTGGGAAATGCAATTGACAAAGGTTGCTCCCACAATAACATCCTCCTAGAATCAAGTATGAGAGCCATTAAGAACACATCATAACATCAAAGTGGGAAGAATAGAGAGAAACTTGCTATATGAGCTTTACGGGGCTTGTATAAGCAACTTTAAGCACGGTGCTTGCTACTTATTAGATATCAAACAACCGAATGTAGAAAAAGGAAAGCCCTCAAACAAACAAATATAGAAAATACATAATCTTTTTGTCTTGGTATATGATGAATATCCATATCCACATTATTGTGATTGCTTATTAAAGTAGGCTTACCTAGGATTTTCCTAGAACCCTATTATTTTCCCCTCGACTATTCGTTGAACCGATTACCCATATCTAAGATGATATCTCATAGAGTATTGTATTTACTAATGATAAATTTGTTGAAGGTGAAACCAACATTGGGATAAACTACAAGTTGAGTTATGGAAGAGTGCCCTTTAGTCCAAAGTTTTCAAGTTTGGGAAAGCTAAGGGATTGTCCGCTTAGTTAAAGTAAAAGTGCTAAAATGTAATAATTTTCAATGTGTAGATTCCTTCATTCAAAACCGAGAGAATGTTGAGGAGGATATTAGCAATAGATTCAAATATGGATTGTTGAAATTACGTAGTACGACGGAGGATTATGTTGTACAAATATCCCGACTTATTGAATCCTAAGTTCAATGATATTATAGTATCTTCACTTAAGTGTTTGGGTGCCTTTACAATTTCAACTGCAACAAAGGATTTAAAACTTTAGAGAAAAAAACTTAATTTTGAAGATTTATTTTGATAATCATCAAAAGTCATAATATGCTTTTTGTTTAGGGCATTGGACATTTAAAAACAATTTGATGATCTCTTGCAACCTCAACTGAAAGTTAAACTACTTTTCGATGAATTGATTAAATTCAATTCTTGTTACGTGTGTAGTAAAATACCGAAATTTGAATTCAATCGGGGATCTTCTAGCTACATAAGTCTGTTGAAGAATTAAGAAAAATATATAGTGATTGTCCCTCGGGTATCATTATAATTTTAAGAAATACATCACTAGCTACGAGTATATTTTAAAGCATTCATCTCACATATAATGACTATCTTGATTGTCTTAGAGTTATGTGAAACAAATCGGTTTCCATTTGCTTTGCTATAAAGCTTTTGGTATCCGGTAGAAACATGAGATTTTGCTTTGAAGAGTCACCCTATCAAGCTTCTCGAAGCTAGTTATGCTTTCGAAGTGTTTGATGCATGTGAATACACGATTTGTTTTGTGACATAGGGGTGTGCACGTTAATACTTTGGCAAATTCGATAAACTAGCCTCGCATGGTTACTTGTTCCTAGTTTTCATGATTTATGTGAGATATCCAAGGATTATTCTAGTAAAAATAAACTACCCTTGTTTCTTGCATTAAATTACCTTTAATTCTTTCCATTGTTTGAATGATATTCGTTGCTCCAAGTGTGTGTTGGGATGATTCCACTCATGCTATCCATAACTTTTATTTGTTTTAACATTTTTCATGCACTCATGTATGTATAGATACTAGCTTTGTTGGTTTTCTTATCATTTGACACTCTTATGTTTTCTCCCTTACAATCTTGGATTGTTTTCGACATGGTTTGATGACAATCTTTTCATTATTATTTGTCTGTTTTTTGGTAGACCTATATTGATTTGGGACTTCGGATAAAAGACGACCTACCTATTTTGAATGATCTAGAATTTGATAATGTATCAACTTATCTTCATTGAATTTTACTCTTACGGATTCATGACAAAGTGAAGAAGTTGTTATCCGAATGTAATTATGAGGATTGCAAGAGTTTGGGGCAAGATTTAAGCACCATATCCAAGTAATGTTTTTGTATTCTACTCTGTCTAGTATTTAAGTGATGTATTTTCATCTTTGTTATTTTTGGTGAAATTTGATTTGACATTAGGCAATCTATGAAGCATGCTACGATTGAATATTTTGTGAGTTGTATCGTATTAGATATCGGTTCAGCTCACTGCCTAAATCTTAAAATGAATAGTTTAGCTTCATGATTATTTTATGTTTTTTGTCTGATCGGTTCTTTCCGGAATGAGTGGATGGTTTTTTCTCTTGGTCCTATCAAGCAGTGGCAGAGGCTGGACTAACTATTGGAGGGGCAAAGTTAGAAAAGTCACGTGGCTTTAAGAATGTCATGGCATATGTTGAAATTTTGGGATTGCTTAGTAATTATTTTTAAGGGTTTACATGAAAGCATGCCTAAAAGTTAGGGACTGACGTGAATATTTGAAATTTTCTTTTTGTTTTTGCTTTTTATTTTTTTGGGGGCGGCAGGCATGGCTTCCTCACTACTCTTGGTTGACATGCCGCATCTGCTGGCAATGGATAATGAGTTCATAGATCAAAATGCACATGCATGTGGCTGGTATTAATGCAGTTGAATATTCTGTTAAAAGAAAGTAGCCAACCAAGACAAGAAAGAGCAGGAATACAGACTGGATACTCCTACCTAACCATGCTATCTAATAGCTTTGCAGCTCTCTCATTTACTGCTTTGGAGTCTTCAATTCTCACATGTTTACGAGATGCATGTCTCCTGTCACATTTGACAGCAAAGATGATGCTTATGGAATTAGTGATTTCACAATCACGCAGTGAAAACCAATGTCAAAAGAAAAAGATTATGATGCAAAAACGAGCAGCAGCAGGTAGTCAAAATTTGAATCATAAGATGTAATATGTATGAAACATTGGTCAAAACTGCCAAGTCTCTCTTGAAAGAGATGCTATCAATTAGAACTAATCAAGGTAACCCAGCAATTAAGGACAACAATGTAGGGTAGATGGCAAAGCAGAATGAAGTTTTGATCGAAACCTCACAAGATTTACACGCACAAGACAACCATGTGTTTTTTGTTGAGATTTGAATCCATGCTTGACCTGTTACTGATAATGTTCCTTCCTAGCTACAAATTGCTAGCAAACCCATAGCAGAACTCATGAAAATAATGTAGGGATTCTGATGCTAAGAGTATTTAGTTTCTATGACATTAAACACCTTGAAGGCATACATTTAATATTTAAAGCGATCAGATTTGCTGATAAAATTCCAATCCGGAAATCATAGCTTAAGAGTATCCTGCCTCATAGCCATAAAAACCCACCGTCAACAGCCCCGCTACACTACTCGATACCGACGGTTGGGATTATATTATCTGAATTTAAGCGATCAGATTTGCAAAACAAAAGAGTAAAAAAGAGAAAGTAGATAAAATCACAAAATATAACTACTGTAGAGAAGATGGTGGACCAACTGTTAGGGAGATAAAAAACAAAATGCTGCAGAGAAAATGGTTGACCAACGGTTAGGAGATAAAGACAAACTGCTGCAGAGAAAATGGTGGACCAACGGTTGGGAGATAACAGTAGTAATGGGTCTTATTATTTGGGTCTAAATAAATAGTATTCGTACAGCGAACAGATTTTTTAGTTTTGATGAATGAATGGAAGATTGTTGGAGATAAGATTTAATGACGTGGCAATAATCTATTGATCGCTCAGATTACATTATTCCTCATAAACCAATCAGATTTGCAAACCGAAAGAATAAAAAGCAGAAGATATAAAATCACAAAACCCAAAGACTGTACAAGCAGAAGATGGAGGACTGGGAGACAAAAAAATTAATGATCTCATATTAAGAGACTTATAAAATCAAAGATTCCATCACTACCGGCTTGCTACTATCCAGCACGTCCCAACCTCAAGTCTTCCACAGCATCCGCACGCGCAAACCCCTTTCTCCCCTCCACAAATATCTCACGTGCCTTGCTTCAACACCAAGTCATCCCCGGATGGCAGCGGCAAGCACGGACGGTGCCGATACTCGAGAGGTTAATCAAGGCATAGCACAGTTCTACGACCAGTCGACTGGTGTCTGGGAGGACATATGGGGAGACCACATACATTACGGGTTCTGCGACCCGGTTTCCGGGACTGAATCGGATTACCGGGCTGCCCAGATACGAATGATAGAAGAGGCCCTCAGTTTCGCCGGCGTTTCGGGTTTGTTAGTTATTTCTTGCTGGCTCTCTTTCCATTTATCATATCTCAACTCCCAAAAATGACCTTACTATAAACACAAACTTACGTGGCTTACTATAACTGTTACCTCCTATGGTTATCATCATCGTCATCATCATTATGGTAATTAGTTATTATGTGTTTTGAATCAATAGTCATGAGGAGAAAAGTTTTTAATTTTTTTTAGTAAGATTTAATTTATAAAGTGGGATCCATTATGATAATTTTTTAGCGGAAGTTTCTTTTTTATCTCAAAACTGCATTTTGTTTTTTTTTGTTTTTAATAATTAGATGTGGTATATAATGAAACAAAGCATGTGTTAGTAGGTGAATGAGAAGAAGCTTGAAAATAAAGTCTTGGTCCATTAATTTTATATCTGAATTGGTAACTAGAGGACCCAGGAAAAAGGCCAAAGAATGCGCTTGATGTTGGGTGTGGGATAGGAGGCACCACCAAGTACATAGCAAGGAAATATGGAGCCAAATGCATAGGCATCAACCTTAGTCCCATCCAAATCCAGAGGGCCAATGCTCTTGCTGCAGCTGAAGGATTAGCTGACAAGGTATGTGTTCCAACTTCGAAATATTTTACATTAATTTGAGCTCCAATTCGCTCTGTAGTATAATTGTGTATAAACTCTAGCTTCTCTTTCTTTGGCCAAATACAAAGGTAGTTGATATCTAAATGCAATCATGTTAACTTTCGTTTCTGTTTGTTATTTTTTCGTTTATATTGATGGGAGCTGCTGAAAGAATTGGATCTGCTTCTGTTGTAGCATTAGTTATTTGTTGCATCATCATCATTTATCACTGTGTGGATAGTATATTTGTAGCATTAGCCATAACAATGTCAACATCTAGCAGGTTTCCTTTCAAGTTGCAGATGCATTAGAGCAGCCATTTTCAGATGGGCAGTTTGATCTGGTTTTGTCAGTGGAGTGTGGAGAGTATATTCCTGACAAAAGAAAGGTTTTGCTTCTTCCTTGCACCTACACTTATTGTTCATTTCTACGCTTAAATTGCCCATTTCTTGTTATACTTGGTTATATATCTGAAGTTGGTCTCCCTGTTTGTTCAAACTGGCAGTTTGCTGCTGAGTTGGCTAGAGTTACAGCCCCAGGGGGCAAAATTGTCATACTATCATTTTGTCACAGGGATCTTGGCCCTTCTGAAGAATCTCTGCAGCCATGGGAGCTGAAGCGTCTTAAAAAGATATATGATGCTTTCCAAATTCAGGGATATTGTTCTGCTGCTGATTATGTCAACTTTTTCGAGTCCCTCTCTCTTCAAGTAATTACTTTCTTAAATTTGGCTAAAACTCACTTGAGTCAGTCTCCAATCAATCCCCACCAGCCTTTGAAACCTTGAGCTGAAGGATTGAACATTTTTCACAAAATGAATGTGGTAGAACAAAAATTGATAATTAAACTGAACCACTTATCAATGTTTAAAGCGTATAGCTTCCTGATATATGGTAGAAGTTTGTATTCCAGAAAAATAAAAAAAAATTGAAAAAAAAAATGAACTGAAAGCTACTCTGAATTTTTTCTTCCGTTCCACGACCCATTAACCAACATGCTGAGTGGAAGTGTAGAGAATTTGTCATTTTCACTTGTGATACATATTTACCATTCCTTTTGTTTTTTGTGTGTGATTGTTATCATAACCTATGTTACCTCCAAATCTTCTTACTCACAACATCGAATTAAAGTCCTGTTTTCATTGCATTGCAGGATATTAAGACAGCAGATTGGACTCAATATATTGCCCCATTTCTTCCTTTATTATTTCGCTCGGCATTGACATGGAAGGGCCTGTCATCTCTGCTGCCATCTCTGCTGCGCGGTGGTAAGCTTAGCCTTCATTGCTAGTGATTACTGTTCATTGTTTTTTTTTTCTCCCTATTTTTCTTTCATTTGTTTACATTAAAATGTGTCTTGACAAGCTTTCATAGTTTGCTGTTTTTTTGAAAAACAAAAAGAAAAAGGATGCATACTTGGTTATGAATCTTTATGTGCAAGAATATACATTATATGCCATCATGCAAGGATGTGTGAGAAGATTTTTTATTTTAGTAAGTTTAAAAAAGCCTAACCACTCATGAACTTTAAATTATTTGAAGTAGAGTACTTAAAATTTTTTATTAGTATTGAAAATTTCTAAACTTTTAATTTTTTTTTTTAGATTTAATCCATTCCATAATTTTTAGCTATAATTTTTCTTTTAAAAAAAATTATAATTTTTGGTATTTTGAGTTAAATTTTTTGCGCACATGCTGAAACAAATTCAATTTATTTTGTAAAAAAAATTTCAGAATTTTTCAAAATAAAAAACGATATTTTTTTATTTTTTTAACATTAAAGGTATTAAAAAATCGAAAAAGTAAAAAATAACGTTGAAATAATCTTAAATTTTTTGAGGACTCCAATATAAATCTCATTGAATGATTTCTATTGTGAAAATATTTTTGTATTGTTATTTTTTAAAAAATAAATGACAAAGAATTGGAGGATGGGTTATTTTTTGACACTTGCATTATTTAACTAATTTATTATATATAGTTTTTTAAAATTCTAAAAAAAGAAAAAAGTGCTCCTAGCTAAAGGTAGGTTTTCTCGCCCAAGAGGTTGGAATACTTGAGAACAAAGTGGCAAACTACAAATTTTTTGATAATTATAATTAAATTAATTCTTTTAATTTCTTACCATATAATATAATTTTAACTGGAATAAAAATAAAAATAAGGACTTAAATTTAATTATGTTTTAAAATGTAATAACTAATTGTTAAGATAAATACATATAACTCTTAAAAATAAAATCACAAAAAAAATATTCATCTATCATTATATTATAAAACTTTTAAATTTTAAATAGTTCTAATCATTATATGTGAGGTGAATATAAATTAACAATGCGGACACGATACAAAAATTATAGGTTTTTTTTTATTTTATTTAATAAACATTGCTTTTTTGTTAATATTATCAATGTTTGTTTAGAGGAGTAAACTAAAATGTAAGACAATAACAAAAAAATAACCTATAAAAACTTAAGTAAGGATTCAATTTAATAATTTAATGAATTTTGACATCATTTAATTATTTTTTAATTTTAATACTTTTATGTTTTTATTGGCTCGTTTTAAAGTCTTTTTAGAGTTTTCATAGTGAAAAATAAAGTATTAATATATTATTAATTATATTTCTTAAGTGTGATTTAAGTAATTATCATTTGGGGTTTTTTAATGCAGTTTATAGATAATAAAAAATATGAAAATGAAATTAATGTATATTTTGAGATTCATTGAAAAATAGTCTCTTTTTTATGAATTAATAATTCTTTTTTAAAGAATTTTATCAATATTGGTCTTTTTCTTAATTAGAAACGAGGTTGGATTTACTTAGTAGAATTTAGTATACTTTAATATTAACATTGTATTAAGGGATAATAGTCAATCAAAAGTTTAAAGAATTCGTATTTTTATACATAATTATGGATTTGTTTGATGGTAAACAATCTTCCTTCTTATGTGTTTGAGCTTGAGGCTTGAGTACATCCCTTGTAACCCTATGAGGAAGGGACCTCAGCATGGTTTTTGCTATTAATTTCATACCATTAGTGCTGTTCGTTATATGTCTATCTTACAATGAATTGATCAGGTATGAAAACCCTCAGAGCAGTATTGGTTTTGCCATTGGACTATGATGCCTTCAAGAAGGGTCTATATAAGTATACCATCATTACATGCAGAAAGCCCGAGTAAATTTGAGGACTGCATTCTGTAGATGCAGGAAGCTGTAAGGGTTTGAATAAGGAATGACTGAAATATTTTCAAGGTTTGTAGAAAATAAAAGAGAAGAAAAAGGGGAAAGAGTGTGCTGGCCAGAATTATAGCATTGCCAATGTCTTTTTCTGTTTTAAAATGCTAGTTAGCTGATTTGAATAAGGAATGACTGAAATATATGTATGATGGTTATGTATCGGACGCATGGAGAAGTTATGTGATAATTGTTGTGATTGGTAGGGCTGGTCTTTTTTACTCTCTAGATCTATTATATCTGCGGTAGCATCCCGAAAAGGTTTATTAAAATTTGATAATTAATAGTTAAGGTAAATGCATTTAACTCTTAAAAACAATAATCACTAATAAAATATTTCACCTATCATAACAGTATTCTGGAACTTTTTTATTTTAAATAGTTCTATTTAATTATATATGAAGTGAATATAAATTAGCAATACGGACATGAAAAACAAAAAATTATAGGTTTTTTTTTAATAAACTAAAAGTAAAAATAAAGATACATATTAGAAAATTTAAATGGGTAAAGGAATTAAATTTTCATTAACTTCTTTTGAATGCAACACATCAAAAAAGTCATATGACTGTCTGCCTATCTGTATTTTTTCAATTAAGTGTTTTTATTATTAAATTATTGAGGACATACCCAATAAATGAACACATGCCATCCTTATTGTTGGACCCAACTATTCATTAAAAAATAATAAAGAATAATTATTTAATAAAAAAGAAAGAGAACATTAAGTAATAAAGATGTAAACCGTATTTTGTTTAAGAAATTTCTAGCCCCTTCTTCTTTTTGTATATTGTTGAGAAATCTTAATACAAATAACTCAAAAACAATAATAGAAAAGGGTTTTATGGTATATTTTACCCCTAAAATATTGCAATTTGGCAATTTCACGCCTAAAATATTAAATTTGCATAATTAGGAATTAGGTAAATGTGATCCAAATTACTTAATCTTGTTATTTCAAATGATCAACTATTAGTTGACCGTTACTTAGTTTTTTTTGAATGGAAGTCGAGAGGAATTAAAAGAGGTAAGGCATACGACATATCGTTTGTCTTACCCCTTTCAATTCCTTTCATAAAAACTTAATTGAAAACAGGAGAGAGAGAGACATGGAGAGAAGGGGAGAAATTGTGAAATTTCGAGAGAGCTGTTAGAGTTCATGAGATAGTCTCTTAAGGGTTAGATTTTAGTTAGGTTTTTGGCCAATTAGAGTGAATTGGGGGTTAGAGCTTCTACAAGTCCTTGTCCTTTTTTGTTGTCATCTTTTGCTTTTTGTCGTTGTTTTGTCAAAATCTAAGGTGAAATGCTAAATTCAGCTTTGTTATTGCATATTGGAGGAAAGCTTGTTCGAAATCTTGACTTAAAGTACATTGGTGGTGTGTGTGAGATTAAATTGGTTGAAACTGATTTTTTTCTTTTCTGTCCTTGAAACAACTTATTAGAAGTTATAAGTGGATTGATCCTTAAAAGATACATTGTATGCTATTATGGAATGTTGATACATTAGAAACTTAGTTGATATATGGGTATAATGAAAGATCTTTTTTTCATATTTGGATGACTTTCTCAAGTAAGAAAATATGAAGTTTTTTTTATGAAGGATGCGAATAGGCTAGTGAAACATGGTAATGAATTGCTTGATCTTGAGAATGGTAGTGACAATGTGGTCCAGGAACAGATTGTGCGGACATATATGGATGTTGATGGTAGGAATTATGAGGGTAATAGTGGCATTAGACTTATTGATGTTGTAATTTCTTGTGTAAATGAGGGTATTGATGCAACTAATAGAGAAGAAAAATTTAATAATATGGATGGTTATTGTTGGAAAGATGAGTAGTATGAGACCTTATGTTATGTCGGATATGCTTTTGGAAGCATTGAGGTAGGGCTTGTGTTAGATGACGTGAGGAGGGAAGATGGTGATAATGTTAAAGGTAACAAAAAGGGGTGGGCAATGAAGAGGGTGAAAATAATGAGTCTAGTTCGGAAGACAATAAGGATGATGAGGATGGTTATGATAGTATATTAAAGGCTGGATGATGAGATAAAATTAATTGATATGCCACGGCTTACTCGACAATGATGATGAAGAGCTAGTGGTCGGTAGGAATAACTTTGCAAAGTTGAAACAATCCACGAGTAAAAAACATATTGCTTTTATCCGTATAGCATCACAAGTTGATACTCTATAATCTAATAGCCAAAAACCCGATGGTAATGGTACCGAAGAAGAGGTAATTGGTGTATGTTTTTATGAGTTTGATTTGAATGAAGATGGAAGTCTTGAATCAAACAATAATGATGATGGTGAAACGAGATCATGGAAGGAGAAAAAATCCCAAAGCTGTGCATTTTGATGACACTACCAAAGATCGTCAATTTTCACTTGGCATGGCTTTTACAAACAAGAAACAAATCATTCAAACTTTAGAAGTTCATTACGTGGTTCAAAGAAAGGAGATTGAATTTGTCGAACGTGATAGACAAAGAGTTAGAGCAAAGTGTAGTAATCGAAATATGAATGGGTGTTTTATGCAAGATATAAAAGGCAAACATGTAGCTTTGAACTTAGAATATATGTAGATGAGCATACCTATCGAGGTTGCATTTAAGAATAAAAGGATTAAGGTCGAGGTTGTAGCAAAGAACTTAAGAAAAAAGCTTTAGGATTATTTCTTTTAAAATTGATAAAAAGATATGAAAACATAAGCTAGAGAGATTATTTTGTAACATAAGTTCTAACTAAGTTAGAAGAGTAAAAGAAATTATAGAGAGGCATTTTCATGGCAATGATAGTGTAAAGTACTCCATGTTGCAAGATTATTTAGAAGAGCTAAAGAGGAGTAACAAAAGAAGCACTTATTGAAATTTGGTTTACCAAGCCTAGTAGAGGGGTAATCTAGTGTTCAAGGTTATGTATATTTTTTTTGATGCACTTAAAAGAGGATTTAAGACAGGATATATGCCTATGATTGAAATGGATAGATGTTTTTTGAAAGAAAAGTATAAAGGTGAGATCTTAGTTGTTATGGGAAAAGATGGGAATAACAAAATGTTTCCTTTGGCTTGAGCTATTATTGATGGTGAAAATTAGTACACTTAGAGATGGTTTATTGAGCACTTAATGAGAGATCTGGATATAGAGTTTGAAAATGACGACTACTTAGACACTAATGACGGACCAACAAAAGGTTAGATTTAATTATCCATTGAACTTTATAATTCTATATTTTGATTTAGAGTTTGAACTTTGAAAATGGAAGTCATTGATATTTATTGACTAATATATTTCTTCTTGGTAGGGTTTTGAGAAGGCAATCAAAGAGAAAATGCCATATGTCGAGCATAGAAATTATGTAAGGCATATATTTGGTAATTGGAGGAAGAAACATAAAGGTAAAAAGCTTCATGAAAAATTTGAGGCATGTACAAGGGTTACAAACTAACTCTGATTTGGAGAAAGAACTTAAAAAGATAAAAAAAAAAAAAAGCAAGAGATGATATGTTAAAAGTTGATATGATAGCATGAAGCTTTTTTTTTTTTTCGATCACATGATAAGTGTGATGTTGTTGAAAACAACATGTGAGAAGTTTTTAATGGCAACTTAATTTAGGTTAGATATAATGTAATCATTACAATATTGGAGGATATTAGAGTGATGGTAATGACAAGAATAGTAGAAAGAAGGCAATTATGTCGGGTTAGGTTCAAGGGAGATTATAGACAAAAAATATGGCACAAGATTGAAGAGAAAAGAGATTTGATTTATCCTACTGAAATAATATAGAATGGAGGTGATGATTATGAAGTCGGTTAGTTTGGAGATAGATGTCTTGTTAACATGCCTCTTAGAAAGTGTAGTTGTAGACTCGTGGAAGATCGGTGGAATTCCTTATTTCTATGCCATATGTATACTAGAAAGTATGAATGAGAAGCTAGAAGATTATTTATCCTATTGGTACAAGAAGGAGACGTTTATGAAGTCTTATAGTTCGCTTTACAAGTTGTTAATGGGAAGACGTTTTAGGAGAAAAAAAGACATAACCTTGTTAACCCTCCATCACTAGGGAAGAAAGATATAAGGAAGGAGAATAAAAGGGTTAAAAAGCAAAAAATGAAGGAAGGAATTTATCAAGAAAAGGAAAAGTTATGTTTTGTTCCCAATGCCATAAAAAAAAGTCACAATTCAAGGACTTTTTCTAACAAGACAAGAAAGGTAATTTTTTTTCTTATTAATTATGAATAATATAAGTATTAAACATTATATGAAATAACTTTTATTTTTTATTTTTTAATTTCTTGCATTCCGAGATTGGTTGATAGGTGCTTTAGCTTCCGCGACTCCAATTGATACAACAAAAAACCTAATTCTAGATGATTAATTGTCAATGCAAGAGTTGATTGCAACACATGAATCGAAACCATAACTACCTCCAATCTTATCGATGGAGGACTTCCTAAATATATATGTGGCTTATATATGAATCCCGATATAAGGTTTTTGATTTGAAATGTAAATTTTTATTGGTATTTATAATTTGTATTTGTTTCTAAACTATGTATTTTCTTAGTTATAACTAAGTTTTTATTGCTGTTTATAATTTATATAGCATGGAACATATATTTCACAAGTTATAAATTCGGGCACTCAACCTCCAAATGAATAAAAAACTCGACAATAACTTGAACCAAGAAAAAGGAATAGAAATCTAAGCAATCCACCTATCAAAATAAAAGGAAGACCGAGGAAGAATTAAGGATGAATTATTGGTGTTTAGAACATTATGAAAAGTGATTGATGTTTTTTTATATTTTTTTTACTATTAATGGATCATTTTTGTATTTTGAACAATTAATTATAAGTAATTGATCCATTAATTTGAATTTTAGAATGTTAATTATGTGTAATGGATGAAGTTGTTGCTTCTTTTTTTATGTTGTTAATGGGTTTAAAGCATTCTTATTTTGTCAATAAATTACTAGTTAGATGATTTTGGGAATTGTGGATGCTTTATGGGAATGTTGTTTGATTTTTGGAAGTTTGGATGATTTTTAGGAGTTTGGATGTTTTTTTTTTTTTTTGAGAATTTTGGATGATTTCTATAGAATTGATGATTTATTCGGAATTGATAAACAATTCTATGGAATTGTAACTTGATTGCCATAAAAAACTATTTTACTTTTGGTGAAATCAAAGCCGACTCAATACCATTTCCTAACACATTGATGACTTCATAAAGGTATAAAATCCATATGTCATCATTTTGTCCAAATTTCTTTTTTCGACCATCATAATTGATTCGTCGGAGAAATTGAACTTCAAAGGCTCATAGTTATATGTTTACGTAATTTGAATCACAAAGTATTAGGAATTAGGTAAATGTGATCTAAATTATCTAATCCAGTTATTTCTAACCATCAACTATTAATTCGCACGGTTATATCGGACCTTGATGCAACCGGAAAGATTTTAGAATAAAAAGTAGCAAAGGGGAGTCATATGTTTCTCTCAATTAATATCGCGAGGTAATAAATCTTCTTATCCGTCATGCAAAAATATAGATGTGATATTGTTTAAAGTGGATAGGCAATAATATCCGAGAAATGCAATTGACAAAGTTTGCTCCCATAATAAAATTCTCCTAGAATCAAGTCCGAGTGCCATTAACAACACATCATAACATTAAAGTGGGAAGAACAAAAAGAAACTTGCTATATGAGCTTTACGGGGCTTGCATAAGCAACTTTAACCATGGTGCTTGCTACTTATTAGATATCAAACAAGCTGAATGTAGAAATAGGAAAGTCCCCAAACAAACAAACATAGAAAATACATAATCTTTTTGTCTTGGATATGATGAATATCCATATCCACATTATTGTGATTGCTTATTAAAGTAGGCTTACCTAGGATTTGCCTAGAACACTATTATTTTCCTCTTGACCATTCTTGAACCAATTACTCATATCTAAGATGATATCTCACGAGCATCATATTTGTTAACGATAAATTTGTTGAAGGTGAAACCAACGTTGGGATAAACTACAAGTTGAGTTATGGAAGAGTGCCCTTTAATCCAAAGTTTTCAAGTTTGGAAAGCTAAGGGGTTGTTTGCTTAGTTAAAGTAAAAGAGCTAAAATGTAACAATTTTCAATGTGTAGATTCCATCATTCAAAACCGAGAGAATGTTGAAGAGGATATTAGCAATAGATTCGGATATGGATTGTTGAAATGTTGTAGTATGACAGAGGATTATGTTGTACAAATATCCCTACTAGTTGAATCCTAAGTTCAATGATATTGTAGTATGTTCATTTAAGTGTTTGGGTGCCTTTACAATTTCAATCGCAACAAAGGATTTAAAACTTCATGAAAAAAAAACTTTAGTTTTGAAGATTTATTTTCATAATCATCAAAAGTCATAATATCCTTTTTGTTTAGGGCATTGGACATTTAAGAATAATCGAAAATCCTTTGCAACCTCAACTAAAAGTTAAACTACTTTTCTTGTGAATTAATTAAATTCAATTCTTGTTGCATATGTAGTAGAATACTGAAATTTGAATTCAATAAGGGATCATCTAGCTACGTAAGATGCTTGAAGAATTGGGAAAAATATACGAGTGAATGTCCCTCGGGTATCATTATAATTTCAAGAAATACATCACTAGCTTTGAGTATATTTTAAAGCATTCATCTCATATATAATGACTATCTTGATTGTCTTTGAGTTATGTGAAACAAATCGGTTTTCATTTGCTTTACTATAAAGCTTTTGGCATCTAGTAGAAAAATGAGATTTTGCTTTGAAGAGTCACCCTATCAAGCTTCTCATAAACCAGTTATGCTTTTGAAGTGTTTGATGCATGTGAATCCACTATTTGTTTTGTGATATAGAGGTGCACATGTTAATACTTTGGCAATTTCGATAAACTAGACTGCATGGTTACTTGTTCCTAGTTTTAATGATTTATGTGAGATATCCAAGGATTGTTACGGTAAAAATAAACTACCCTTGTTTCTTGCATTAAATTACTTTTAATTACGTGCATTGTTTGAATGATATTACTTGCTCCAGTGTGTGTTGGGATGATTCCACTCATGCTATCCATAACTTTTATTTGTTTTAATATTTTTTATGCACTCATGTATGCATAGATCCTATCTTTGATGGTTTTCTTGTCATTTGGCATTCTTATGTTTTCTCCCTTACTACCCTGGATTGTTTTCGACATGCTTTGATGACAATCGTTTCATCATTATTTGTTTGTTATTTGGTAGACTTATATTGATTTGGGGCTTCGGATAAAAGACAGACCTACCTATTTTGAATGATCTGAAATTTGATCATGTATCAACTTATCTTCATTGAATTTTGCTCTTATAGATTCATGATAAAGTGAAGAAGTTGCTATCTGAATGTAAATATGAGGATTGCAAGAGTTTGGGACAAGATTTGAGCATCATATCAAAGTAATGTTTTTGTATTCTTCTTTATCCCGCATTTAAGTAATGCATTTTCATCTTTGTTATTTTTAGTGAAATTTGATATGACATTGGGCAATTTATGAAGCATGCTACAATTGAATATTTTATGAGTCTTATCGTATTGGATATCAATTAAGCTCATTGGCTAAATCTACAAATGAGTAGTTTAGCTTTATGATTATTTTATGTTTTTTATCTGATCGGTTCTCACTGGAATGAGTGGATGGTTTTTTCTCTCGATCCTGTCAATCAGTGGCAGAAACTGGACTAACTATTGGAGGGGCAAAGTTAGAAAAGTCAAGAGGCTTTAAGAATATCATGGCATACGCTGAAATTTTGGGACTGCTTAGTAATTAATTTTAAGCGTTTACATGAAAACATGCCTAAAATTTAAGGACTGCGTGCATTTTCAAAATTTTCTTTTTGTTTTTGCTTTTTATTTTTTTAGGGGCGGCAGGCATGGCTTCCTCATTATTTTTTATTCAGTGTCACCCTGTCTCATAGCTTAAGAGTATGCTGATAAAATTCCAATCCGGAAATCATACCTCAAGAGTATCCTGCCTCATAGACATAACAACCCACCGTCAACAGGCCCGCTACACTACTCAATACCAACGGTTGGGATTATATTATCTGACTTTAAGCGATCAGATTTGCAAAACAAAAGAGTCAAAAAGAGAGAGGATGTTGGACCAGCGGTTGGGAGATAAAAACAAACTGCTGCAGAGAAGATGGTGGACCAACAGTTGGAAGATAAAAAACAAACTGCTGCAGAGAAGATGGTGGACCAACGGTTGGGAGATGAAAAACAAACTGCTGCAGAGAAGATGGTGGACCAACAGTTGGAAGATAAAAAACAAACTGCTGCAGAGAAGATGGTGGACCAACGGTTGGGAGATTGTTGGAGATAACAGTAGTAATGTGTCTTATTATTTGGGTCTAAATAAATAGTATTTGTACAGTGAACAGATGTTTTAGTTTTTGATGAATGAATTTAAGGTTGTTGGAGATAACAGTAGTAATATATTGATTGCTCAAAACAGAGGATATAAAATAAGAAAACCCAACGACTGTAGAAGGAGAAGATGGTGGGTTGGGAGACTTATAAAATCAAAGATTCCAGCAAAGCAAAGAAAATGAGTTGTTTCGCCAATCAGTTGCCTCTTTACCTTTGGAAAAAGCAAGCGACTCACGTCCATCACTACCGGCTTGCTACCATCCAGCACGTCCCAACCTCAAGTCTTCCACAGCATCCGCACGCGCAAACCCCTTTCTCCCCTCCACAAATATCTCACGTGCCTTGTTTCAACACCAAGTCATTCCCGGATGGCACGTTGTTCAGCGGCAACCACGGACAGTACCGATACTCGAGAGGTTAATCAAGGCATAGCACAGCTCTACGACCAGTCGTCTGGTGTCTGGGAGGACATATGGGGAGACCACATGCATTACGGGTTCTGCGACCCGGTTTCCGGGACTGATTCGGATCACCGGGCTGCCCAGATACGAATGATACAAGAGGCCCTCAGTTTTGCCGGCGTTTCGGGTTTGTTAGTTATTTCTTGCTGGCTCTCTTTCCATTCATCATATCTCAACTCCCAAAAATGACCTTACTATAAACACAAACTTACTATAACTGTAACCTCCTATGGTTATCATCATCATCATCATTATGGTAATTAGTTATCAATTGTTTTGAATCAATAGTCATAAGGAGAAAAGTTTTTAATTTTTTTTAGTAAGATTTAATTTATAAAGTGGGATCCATTATGATAATTTTTTAGCGGAAGTTTCTTTTTTATCTCAAAACTGTATTTTGTTTTTTTTTTTTTTTTTTTTAAATTATTAGATGTGGTATATTATGGAACAAAACCAAAGAAAAGCAAGGAAATAAAGTCTGATGAGAAGAAAAGCAAAACCAAAGCATGAAATGTGTGTTAGTAGGTGAATGAGAAGAAGCTTGAAAATAAAGTCTTGGTCCATTAATTTTATATCTGAATTGGTAACTAGAGGACCCAGGAAAAAGGCCAAAGAATGCGCTTGATGTTGGGTGTGGGATAGGAGGCACCACCAAGTACATAGCAAGGAAATATGGAGCCAAATGCATAGGCATCAACCTTAGTCCCATCCAAATCCAGAGGGCCAATGCTCTTGCTGCAGCTGAAGGATTAGCTGACAAGGTATGTGTTCCAACTTCGAAATATTTTACATTAATTTGAGCTCCAATTCGCTCTGTAGTATAATTGTGTATAAACTCTAGCTTCTCTTTCTTTGGCCAAATACAAAGGTAGTTGATATCTAAAATGTAATCATGTTAACTTTCGTTTCTGTTTGTTATTTTTTCGTTTATATTGATGGGAGCTGCTGAAAGAATTGGATCTGCTTCTGTTGTAGCATTAGTTATTTCTTGCATCATCATCATTTGTCACTGTGTAGATAGTATACTACTCTGAAGATTTAGCCATAACAATGTCAACATCTAGCAGGTTTCCTTTCAAGTTGCAGATGCATTAGAGCAGCCATTTTCAGATGGGCAGTTTGATCTGGTTTTGTCAATTGAGTGTGGAGAGTATATTGCTGACAAAAGAAAGGTTTTGCTTCTTCCTTGCACCTACTAGGATCACTTATTGTTCATTTCTACACTTAAATTGCCCATTTCTTGTTATACTTGGTTATATATCTGAAGTTGGTCTCCCTGTTTGTTCAAACTGGCAGTTTGCTGCTGAGTTGGCTAGAGTTACAGCCCCAGGGGGCACAATTGTCATACAATCATTTTGTCACAGGGATCTTGGCCCTTCTGAAGAATCTCTGCAGCCATGGGAGCTGAAGCGTCTTAAAAAGATATATGATGGTTTCCAAATTCAGGGATATTGTTCTACTGCTGATTATGTCAACTTTTTCGAGTCCCTCTCTCTTCAAGTAATTACTTTCTTAAATTTGGCTAAAACTCACTTGAATCAGTCTCTAATCAACCCCCACCAGCCTTTGAAACCTTGAGCTGAAGGATTGAACCTTTTTCACAAAATGAATGAGCTAGAACAAAAATTGATAATTAAACTGAACCACTTATCAATATTTAAAGTGTATCGCTTCCTGATATATGGTGGAAGTTTGTATTCCAGAAAAAAAAAATAATTGAAAAAAAAAATTGAACTGAAAGCTACTCTGAATTTTTTTCTTGATAATTAAACTGACCCATTAACCAACATGCTGAGTGGAAGTGTAGAGAATTTGTCATTTTCACTTGTGAGCATATATTTACCATTCCCCGTGTTGATAATTTCTCTCCAAATCTTCTTACTCACAACATGGAATTAATGTCCTGTTTTCATTGCATTGCAGGATATTAAGACAGCAGATTGGACTCAATATATTAACCCATTTTATTTTTTATTCGTTCGCTCGGCATTGACATGGAAGGGCCTGTCATCTCTGCTGCCATTTCTGCTGCGCGGTGGTAAGCTTAGCCTTCATTGCTAGTAATTACTGTTCATTTTTTTTCTCCTATTTTTATTTCATTTGTTTACATGAAAATGTGTCTTGACAAGCTTTCATAGTTTGCTGTTTTTTTTGAAAAACAAAAAGAAAAAGGATGCATGCTTGGTTATGAATCTTTATGTGCAAGAATATACATTATGTGTCCTCATGCAAGCATGTGTGAGAAGATTTTTATTTCAGTAAGTTTAAAAAAGTCTAACCACTCATGAACTTTAAATTATTTGAAGTAGAGTACTTAAAATTTTTTATTAGTATTCAAAATTTCTAAACTTTTAATTTGTTTTTTCAGATTTAGTCTATTCAATTATTTATAGCTATAATTTTTCTTTTATAAAAAATTATAATTTTTGGTATTTTGAGTTAAATTTTTGCGCACATGCGGAAAAAAATTCAATTTATTTTGCAAAAAAAATTTCAGAATTTTTCATAATAAAAAACCATATTTGTTTATTTTTTTAACATTAAAAATATTAAAAAAATAACTTTGAAATAATCTTAAATTTTTTGAGGAATCCAATATAAATCTCATTGAATGATTTTTATTGTGAAAATATTTTTGTATTGTTATTTATTGAAATAAATGAAAAAGAATTAAAGGATGGGTTATTTGTACAATTAGTTTTTCGGCGCTTGCATTAGTTAACTAATTTATTATATATTTTTTAAAAAATTCTAAAAAAAGAAAAAGGGGCTCCTAGCTAAAGGTAGGTTGTCTCGCCCAAGAGGTGGGAATAGTTAAGAACAAAGTGGCAAACTACAAATTTTTTAATAATTATAATTAAATTAATTCTTTTAATTTCTTACCATGTAATAAAATTTTAACTGGAATAAAAATAAAAATAGGGACTTAAATTTAATTATGTTTTGAAATGTAATAATTAATTGTTAAGATAAATACATATAACTCTTAAAAATAAAATCACAAAAAAAATATTCAACTATCATTATATTATGAAAATTTTTTATTTTAAATAGTTATAATCATTATATGTGATGTGAATATAAATTAACAACACGGACATGACACAAAAATTATAAGTCTTTTTTTTTTTAATAAACATTGCTTTTTTGTTAATATTATCAATGTTTGTTTAGAGGAGTAAAATAAAATGTAAGACGATAACAAAAAAATAACCTATAAAAACTTAAGTAAGGATTCAATTTAATAATTTAATTAATTTTGACGTTATTTAATTATTTTTTAATTTTAATACTTTTATGTTTTTATTGGTTCGTTTTAAAGTCTTTTTAGAGTTTTGATAGTGAAAATAAAGTATTACTATATTATTAATTATATTGTTTAAGAGTGATTTAAGTAATTATTATTTGGGGTTTTTAATGCAGTATATAGATAATAAAAAATATAATAACGAAATTAATCTATATTTTGAGATTCATTAAAAATTAGTCTATTTTTATGAATTAATAATTATTTTTTTATGAATTTTATCAATATTGGTCTTTTTCTTAATTAGAAACGAGGTTGGATTTACTTATTAGTATTTAGTATACTATAATATTAACATTGTATTAAGGGATAATAGTCAATCAAAAGTTTAAAGAATTTGTATTTTTATACATAATTATGGATTTGTTTGATGGTAAACAATCTTCCTTCTTATGTATTTGAGCTTGAGACTTGAGTACATCCCTTGTAACCCTATGAGGAAGGGACCTTGGCATGGTTTTTGCTATTAATTTCATACCGTTAGTGCTTTTCGTTATATGTCTATCTTACAAAGAATTGATCAGGTATGAAAACCCTCGGAACAGCATTGGTGTTGCCATTGGACTATGACGCCAGCAAGAAGGGTCTATATAAGTATAGCATCATTACATGCAGAAAGCCTGAGTAAATTTGAGGACTGCATTCTGTAGATGTAGGAAGCTGTAAGGGTTTGAATAAGGAATGACTAAAATATTTCCAAGGTTTGTAGAAAATAAAAGAGAAGAAAAAGGGGAAAGAGTGTGCTGGCCAGAATTATAGCATTGCCAATGTCTTTTTATGTTTTAAAGTCCTAGTTAGCTTCTTTCTAGAACTCATATATGTATGATGGTTGTGTATCGGATGTATGGAGAAGTTATGTGATAATTGTTGTGATTGGTAAGGCTGGTCTTTTTTACACTCTAGATCTAGTATACCTGCGGTAGCATCCCGAAAAGGTTTATTAAGATTTGATAATTAATAGTTAAGATAAATGCATTTAACTCTTAAAAACAATAATCACTGATAAAATATTTCACCTATCATAACATTATTGTGGAACTTTTTTATTTTAAATAGTTCTATTTAATTATATCTGAAGTGAATATAAATCAGCAATACGAACATGAAAAACAAAAAATTATAGATTTTTTTTAATAAACTAAAAGTAAAAATAAAGATACATATTAGAAAATTTAAATGAGTAAAGGCACTAAATTTTCATTTTCTTTTGAATTCAACGCATCAAAAAAGTTATATGACCGTCTGTTTATCCGTATTTTTTCAATTAATTGTTTTCATTATTAAATTATTGAAGACATAACCAATAAATGAACACATGCCATCCTTACTATTGGGCCCAACTATTCATTAAAAAATAATAAAGAAAAATTATTTAATAAAAAAGAAAAAGAACATTAAATAATAAAGATGCAAACCATATTTTATTTAAGAAATTTCTAGCCCATTCTTCTTTTTGTATGTTGTTGGGAAATCTTAATACAAATAACTCAAAAACAATAATAGAAAGAGGTTTTATGGTATATTTTACCCTTAAAATATTGCAATTTGGCAATTTCGGACCTAAAATATTAAATTTGCATAATTTGAATCCCAAAGTATTAGGGATTAGGTAAATGTGATCCAAATTACTCAATCTTGTTATTTCTAATGATCAACTATTAGTTGACTCGTTACTTAGTTTTTTTTTTTTTTAATGGAAGTCGAGAGGAATTAAAAGAGGTAAGGCATACGACATATCGTTTGCCTTACCACTTTCAATTCCTTTCATAAGAACTTAATTGAAAACGGAAGAGACAGAGACATGGAGAGAAAAGGAGAAATTACGAGATTTCGAGAGAGTCGTTAGAGTTCATGAGATAGTCTCTTAGGGTTAGATTTTAGTTAGGTTTTTGGCCAATTGAAGTGAATTGGGGGTTAGATCTTCTACAAGTCCTTGTCTTTTTTGTTGTCATTTTTTGCTTGTCGTTGTTATTTTGTCAAAAATCTAAGGTGAAATGCTAAATTAAACTTTGTTATTGCATATTGGAGGAAAGCTTGTTCGAAATCTTGACTTAAAGTACATTGGTGGTGTGTGTGAGATTAAATTGGTTGACGCTAATTTTTTTCTTTTCTATCCTTGAAAAATGTATTAGAAGTTATACGTGGATTGATCTTTAAAAGATACATTGTATGCCATTATGGAATGGTGATACATTAGAAACTTAGTTGATATATGTGTATAATGAAAGATCTTTGTTTTCATATTTGGATGATTTTCTCAAGTAAGAATATATGGAGTTTTTTTTTATGAAGGATACAAATAGGCTAATGAAACATGGGATCGAATTGATTGATCTTGAGAATGGTAGTGACAATGTCGTCCAAGAATAGATTGTGCGGATAAATATGGATGTTGATGGTAGGAATTGTGAGAGTAGTAGTGGCATTAGACTTATTGATGTCGTAATTTCTTGTGTAAATGAGGGTATTGGTGCAACTAATAGAGAAGGACAATTTAATAATATGGATGGTTATTGTTGGAAACATGAGTAGCATGAGACCTTATGTAGTGTTAGATATGCTTTTGGAAGCATTGAGGTAGGCCTTGTGTCGGATGACGTGAGGAGGGAAGATGGTGATAATGTTAAGGGTAATAATAAAGGGTGGGTAATGAAGAGGGAGAAAATAGAGAGTCCGGTTCGGAAGACAATAAGGATGATAAGGATGGTTATGATAGCATATTAGAGTTGGATGATGAAATAAAATTAATTGGCATGCCTTGGCTTACTAACAATGATGATGAAGAGCTAGTGGTTGTTATGAATCATTGTGCGAGTTGAAAAAATCCATGAGTAAAAAAATATTGCTTCTATCCAGTAAAGCATCACGAGTTGATACTCCACAATCTAATAGCCAAAGACCTAGAGGTAATTATACTGAAGAAGAGGTAATTAGTGTAAGTTTCTATGAGTTTGATTCAAATGATGATGGAAGTCTTGAATTAAACAATGATGATGATGGTGAAACGAGATAATGGAAGGAGAAAAAAACCCAAAACTTTGCATTTTGATGACACTACCAAAGATCATCAATTTTCATTTGGCATGGCTTTTACAAACAAAAAACAAATCATTCAAACTTTAGAAGACCATTGTGTGGTTAAAAGAAAGGAGATTGAATTTGTCAAACATGATAGACAAAGAGTTAGAGCAAAGTGTAGTAATCGAAAATGTGAATGGGTGTTTTATGTAAGATATAAAAGGCAAACATGTAGCATTGAACTTAGAATTTA